AAGTACCCTACAAGTTAGATGCAGGAATGTTGGTACTGCCTATATTAGAAGGTATAAGGATGTTGGTGCTGCCATAGTCTAAAAGACTTACATGCATAATCTTTTCATAACCGTAACCTTCTATAACAATCACTTGTTATGCATAGTGCCTGCACTCCATGATTGGGTCTTCTTCCGGGAATTCCTATTTCTATTGTTGTACTGCACTTGGATTTAACTACAGGGCTTCATATTTAATTACAGGCTTCTTATTAGGTTACAGAAGCTAAAATCTTTCAATTTTGCCTTCAGCCAAACTTGAACTGTTGACCTTAACTGTGGAGAGTATGGAAGCTTAACCACTAAGCTATGGAACCCACACCCCTTTTATTATTATTTTATTATTTAGATTTCTAAAAGAGTTAGACCTATTTAATCTTCTTCAGAAACTTTAACTACTTTTACAACTCCAACTGGGTCTCAAATAAGTACTAAGTCTTATATTAAAACAAAACCTTAAGTTAAGACTCTGTTATAGTTAAAGGCAGAGCCACAGGTTAGAACTTTGTTTTAGTTAAGGAAGATGCTTTTGACAGAAGAGATTTTAAATTAAAAGAAATTAAAGATCTATAAAAAGAATCTTCAAAAATTATATTTTTATATTTTTATATTTTATATTTTTTATTTTTTATTTAATATTTTATATATTATATTTTATATTTTTTTGTTTTATTTTTATATTTTTATTTTTTATATTTTTAATAAATATAATCAGTTTTATTTGCTATTATAACTTTAAATTTTTATATTTAAATATAATAAAAAATTTGAATATATTGGTTTAATTTTAAATTACTGTATTTTGTAGTTTAAAGTACCTTCTAGTATAAATTTTTATCAGCTCATGCAGATATTTTCATGATATATATCAGATGCATAATGTACTATTTACAATTTTTTTACTTTAAATTTATAATAATTACACAAAATAAAACCAGATATGCATTACAAAAATATTTGCATGAGCTAATAAAAATTCATACTAGAAGGTACTTTAGATTATGAAATATAATATTTAACAAGTTTCAAATAATTTTTTATTATTTCAAATTTATTTAAATTATTTTGAAATATTTTAAAATATTTTAGAATCTTTAAAGTTTTTCTAAGTATTTCAAATATTTTTAATTTTATTTATTGTATTTATATTTAAGATTTTTATATATATTTACTATTATTAATTTATTTCAAATAATTTTGCTATATTTTAAATACATTTGTAGACTAGAAAGACTGAAGATAGCTGAAGAAAGGGCATGGAAAGCCCAAACAGATCACTTCTAAAGGCATTATAGTTGAATTAACAAGAACAGATAAGGAACTCAAGAATTTTCTATGAAGAGAAAGAGAAGGTTTTGAAGAAAGAATATTATTGCCTTATCTTAAAGAAAAGAAATGCAAAAAAGGAAAAGAAAAAGTAGTTAATACAGAAGTATTGCAAAACCAATTTAAAAAAAAGTGAAAAAAAGAGAAAAAAAGATAAAAGTTATATATCACAATATTAATAGATTAAAAACCAAAGGTTAGAAACTTGAAAACCTGCTTAGCTAGACAGAAAAAGCAAAAATTACAATATTAGAAATTACTGAAATGAATCTTGCAAAAAAAAAAGAATATACAAAGCAACAAAAGATATATTAGTTATTGGAGTAATGCAGCAAAAGACAAGAAAAAAAAATTAGGTATAGGGATGTTAATAAAAGAACAATAGGCAAAACATGTAGGCATAATTAAGAAGATAAATGAGTATATAATAGAAATCACATTATACTTCAAGCAAATAGAATTAATAATAATAGAGATCTATATACTACTAAATAACAAAGAAGTAGGAAAAAACATTCAACAAAAAATAGTAGAAATTATTACAAAAAAGAATAAACAAACACAAATAGTGATTATAGGAGACTTTAACTATACAGTAAACAATGTTCTAGATAGACAGAATTTACAAGTTACAAGCTACAAAAGATTACTATTATTTAGTTAGATAAAGAGACAAGACTTTTATGATACATACAGAGAAATGCATCCAACTAAACAAAGATATACATGATCAAACTCAGAAACAGAAACAAGAATTAACTATATATGGGTATCAGAAGGACTAGCTTCAGTCTATAAAGAGCAGAGATTGAAGACATAGAAGAAATTACTAAAAGTGACTACAAGATAGTAAAAGCAGAAATATGGATAAAACATATAATTACAAAAAGTAGCAAGGCAGAAGTTAAAAGAAAGAGCCAATTGAGAACAATATATCTCTATAATAAGACAAAAAAGAAAGAGTAGAAAAGTTATGTACAAGAGTTACAAAAGTGATTAGAGATAAAAGAAACTTTGAAAACATACAAAAAAGAGAATAAGAAAAAAAAGAAAAAATATAAAATATTAACAAAATATGAAATATCTTTTATCTTGTGTTCTTTTTGCTATTCTCATATATGATCATTATATTTATAAAGCATTATATTTTCAAGTTTTTCATTCAAAGGTGTTTCATAGTAAAATTGGTCATTAAATGTTTTAACCATCTGTCTCATATAGTAGCTATCTAAAAAATAATAAATAAGATTAGAATCAATTAAATTTGGATTGTGAATTGATGTACTTTTTGATGCAATTTATAGAATAGCTATTAAATTAATACATTCAGCACAAGGTTATTATATGTACTATGATTAATATTGAACATGTGTCTAAGATCTGTAAAGTATAAATATTATGATAATTATCAACATTGAGAACTAACACATTATTTTTTTTAATTTCTAGATATAAAGTAACCTTATATAAATAATTATTATCAATAGTTATTTTTATTCTGTCTAGTTGTCTTTATTAAATTGTTATATCAGTATGCAATAAGAAATTTATAGCTTTATTGAAAACATTTGTCAGATTTACAAAAAGTAATAAGTCTTTTTTAAAGATTGTTAGTTTAGAATTTTAATTTTCACAAAAAATATAACATTCTATAACTAATTTTTTATCTAACTTATTTAAATATTTGTTACTTCTATTTTTAGAAAGAAACATATTATAAATTAAATCAAAGAAACTACTTAGTCTAAAATTCTTAGCTACTATCTCTCTTTGCAGCTGCTTAAAGCTATAGATAACTGGTTCCTGCTTATTTTTCTCTCTGTTATATAAAAGCTTTGTTAAAATATTAATACTATCTATCTATGAAAGATTATCATCATTTGCTACTAATTTATCTTTTAAATTCCAAAGTAGTATAGTCATGCTTTGATTCCAACATGTTAAGTAATACTGATATACAGAAACCAATCAAGAGCCTTTTGTTCAGTTTATGTTTTCTGTTTAAACAAACCATTTCTTCAATTTTATTAAAAAAGAAACTTAATTGATTATTTTTATTTTCATTAATTAATTTAAGTTAGAAAAATGTAACAATAAATAGATTATTATCTAAAACTTCTTTTTTAAAAATTATATTAGTTAATAATGAAATACTCTTAAATATAGAAATATTATCTCTGCATCTTTTTAATCCTCTTACCCAATTAGCTGCATGTTCTTTGTAAGTATTTGCTTTATTTACTATAATAGAATTATAACAGTTCAAATACATATACTTATTCTTATAATCTTCATAATAGAAGTTTAAAGTTCTGTTAGTTTCTGCTTTAGCCAACATGTTTTCAGTTATTTTTTTTTATTTCAAGACTGGAACTTTATTGCAAATCTTTACTATATACTTCTTAGTCAAATTGTAAGCTAAATTATCATTTATTTTCTATAAAACTTGTTACTAATAAAACTTTTAGAGATTTGGAATTATTTGGAATTAATTTTAATAGTTTATAGATTATTTAAAGACTTATTATTTACTTTTTTTTTAGAGTAGATTTATTTAGTAAGTTTCAAGAAACAGTGAAAATAAAAAGTACTTTAAAGCATATAAAAAAATTAAAAAATTTTTTTATTAAATTGATCTAAGTTACTGTAAATTATTATTAAATACAGGTTTGTTTATTATACTGCATTTGCTGTTCTGACTCTTATTGTTGTCTTTTTGTTTGTCATATTTTCGATTCTTTCTTTTTGTCTTTTTTTAAGCTTTTTTGTATTTTTGTTTGATATTTCTTCTTTGTCTTTCATATTACTGTTTTATTAATATATAGGCTTTTTTGTGTTTGTAGTTAGATTTTTATTTATTTTCTATAAAAAAAATCTTGTTTCTATACTCTGTTTCTTTAATTTACTATAACTATAATGCCTTTTAGAAGTAATTTATCTTTTTGTTAACTATATTTAAGTTTTTGCTAATATGATTTGTTTCAAGCTTATCCAATCTTAATAAAATTCTTTGTAGTAATTTTTATATTTGGTTTAATTGTTTGATTTAGTTGGCTCTTGATATTATTTTTGGTTTTTGTGTTTTTTGCTTTTCTATTTTTCTTGTTGTTTTCTAATTCATCTTTAATTATATATATATTATTATTATTTTTTTTTTTTAACTTTAGCAGTCATGCTAGTACTTTATTAGGATTCTTAAAACTATACAAATTACATAAAATTTTTCTAATATATAAGTCTAGCATTACTTGATTACTCAAATGGTATCTAAGTATGATCTGTTACACTATTTCAGTTAGAGATAGACTGCTTATCTGACTGCTATTTTATAATAGAACATCACCAATCTGATGACATCTTTTCATAAAGAAGCAAAAAAAAAAATTTTTATGTAAAAAACAAAACAGAGGTATAGGAATAAATGATAAAAGATACAAATCAAGAAATAAAAAGGAAAAAAAAATAAATAAGAAAAAAGAAAATATGTGTAACTTGTAATTTACAAATATCAGATAATTACAATTATATGTCTATGTTGGGCTTTTAAAAATTATAAACTATACTAAATAGAAATAACTTTACTATTTTTCTATTTACTTAGATTATTTAACAAATAATTATATAGGAAAAAAAAATCTTTGACTTAATCATAGAGGGTTGGTATAGAGTACTAGTTAGTCTAAAGGCAGTATTTTTAGGTTTTTAGTATTTTAAGGCATGTGTATAGTCATGTCTGTATTACTGTATTGTTTCTGATTTATGTTATTAACAAACCCATTTAGAAAGTAAATACTACTAACTGTTTTGGTAGTTTTATGTGTTGATCTTTAAAAGAGAATAAGCTAAATTACCCACTTTTACAAAATTTTCTTGAAGCAAAGTAAAGGTGAAAGGTGAACCAACTTTGTAGCTTTTGTAAATTCCTGATCTTTATAGATGTTCCTTGTAAGTTTTATAGTTGTATAAAACTAATATATCTAACTTTGTTGTTTACTTGATAAAAAACTTTGGCTTTCATTTAGGAGCCTGCAAATTGCCTGTTTTTGAGGCTCGGCCCAGCCCACAATTAGAGTTAAAAATTTTTTTAGACCCAGCCCAGCCCGCATTTAGGGTTACTATTTTTTTGCCAGCCCAGCTCAGCTTACATATATTAAATTTTTTCTTCAGCCCAGCCTGGCCTGGCCCAGCCAACAAAAATTTGCAGGCCAGATCAGGCTAAGCTGTGGGACCCAATGCAGGCTTCTACTTTTATTAACTACTTTTTTTATAGTTCCAAAGTGTGTTTAAATTGTTATTACAAAGCTGCAACTTCTTTTTCAAGTCTATTTTAATGTTCAACTATGCATGTACAGTACTCTAAAAAAGTTTTTATAAGGTTTAATCTATTAACTATATTATTTTTTTTGTAGTTTGACTTTTTGAAAAGTTTGGTTCAAATGATTGTTAAAAAGAGTTGTTGTGAATTATTGAATATACATATTATTATTTTTTATATTTTATATTTTTGCTTATCAGTTTTAAATTTCTTTTTTCTTCTTCAGCATTTTTTTAAAACATCAAATAGTTATATCTTATTAGTTTCATTTTTGTTACATTCATTTCTTCTTCTATTGCAAAAGTAATTGTTGCTAATCTTCTTTAATTACTATTTCTGTTAGGTGATATGTATACTAATTTTGCATTTTTGCTCTTTAAACAGCATAGTAGTAATACTTCTAAGATATTTGCTAAAAGATTCTTTAATTTTGTTGTAAATGAACTTTGAAGATTACATTAGCTATAGACTTCATTGTCTTTGAATACTCTAGCCAGTTTGTGAACCCTAATTGGTAAAGATCAGAAAATGTTTTTTTTATATATATAGTCTGTTTAATTACTATAAGGACTTTGAATTTAAATTTTTTAATTTAAATTATTTGTGTCTTTTGGATGTTTTTGCATATATGTTTTACTTCTTTTATATTGATGTCTATTGACAGATCTCAAATTGTTCAATATTTATACTGATTTTTACTACTTTCTGCTATAAAAGTTTTTCTATTATTTCTAATTTTGTTAGTTTTTCATCTTTTTTCTTTTTTTTTTTATTATTATCTTTAGGTTGTTGCTCTACTTTTTTGGTTTGTTTATTGATTTTTTTTAGAATAAGTTTAAGCTAATCTTTTTTTTTCTCTAATTTGATTCATTGTCACATCTCTATTATATTTATAATTAAAATCTATCTTTATTTAATTATTTTCTTTTTTGAAGACTTTTTTAAGTGTTTTAATATAATAATTTTTTACTAAGATCTATTACACATATTTTATTCTTTTATCTTTCAACTTTTTTGGCAATATATATACTAACATATTTGTCTTAAATAATTTTTCTTTATTATAAACTCTATTTCTTAAAAACTATTAACTATTTTTAATTGTGTTCTAAAAAATTAAATTAGTACTAATATTATTTAAATTTTTTTTTTTAAGTTTATTATTTTTTTATTTAGATTTTTAATATTTTTTTTAATATTATGAAACATGTCATCTCTTGGAAATTCTAAGTCTTTCTTAAATTTTATTTTTTTTAATTCTTTGTTTTGATTTTTTTCTGTAAAAATTTTTGTTTATTTTCTGTTTAAATTAGCAATATTAGTTGTTTTTTTTAATTAATGTTTTTTTTTTGATGTTTTTTTTACTAATTATAATTGTAATATTTTCTATTTCATCAGTTCTTCTTATTTTTTTATTTACTTTTAGTTTTTAATATATATATATATATATATTGATATTAAGGTGACCTCTTTGGTTTTTTAACTTTTATTAGCAACTTTTTTAATAATGTAATTCAATAAATTACTACAGAAGAGTGTACAATTGGTTATATATATAAATTTTCTATATTACTTAATAAAGAAATTTGCTTAAAGATTTTCTGCCAATTGCTATATCTAACATTTTTGCTTGGATGTTTTACTTTAAACTTTTTGAACTTGCAATCTGTATTAACATTACTAGATCATATTTAGGTGTTTAAATTATTATCTTAACCTTAGAACTATTTTATTCTTAAAATAAAACTTTTGGAGCCTTCTGTACTAGAGGTTTGCAAATTACCTATTTTTAAAGTCTGCATTTAGAGTTGAAATTTTTTTGCTAGTCCAGCTTAGTCCACATTTAGAGTTAAAATTTTTTTGCCAACCCAACCTAGCTCATATATATTAAATTTTTTCTTCAGTCTGGCCTAATCTGGCCTAACTTGCAAAAATTTCTTATATAATTTTATAAAATTTTAGGTTTAACCTAGTCTGCAATTATAAAATTTTACAAATTTTTTAGCCTAGACCAGTTTACAATTATAAAATTTTGCTTTAGGCCTGGTCAAGTCAGATTGTAGGACCTAATGCAGGCCTCTATTTTGTATCTAATTTACAACTAACTTAGTATTACTATGGCAGAACTAATACTTGCAGTTAGAGTTATATTATTTAACTACTATGACTTTGTAAAATTCACTTGAATCTTAGTATTTGCTTTATAGTATAACTCTAATACTTTAGTATATCTTTGCCTTTTTACTAGACTTCTAATCCAGATAGTTTATATAAAACAATAACCAGTTTATCAGTATATCAGATCAGCCTAATATCTTTTTTTTTAGTTCATTCTAATAGCCTAATTAATAGTACCTCCAAGACTTCCAATCTGAATATAGGCTAACTTTCTTATGATTGGTCAATTTTATTTAATTAAATTTACATAGTTTAAAGTATTTTTACTTTCTAATATAATAAATTTTTTTTTTAAAATATAATTTCTATTTATAATATTACAAAAAATTCTTTATAAATAAAGCTTTAAAAATCTTATATATCTTTAGAATTTATCTTGCCTAGGTATACTTCATTTAGAAACAGTTTTTTGACTTAAAAAAATAGTAATGAGGTAATAAACATATTATTTATTATAAAATTTTATAGTTCTGCATTTCTTTACTGTTGTACTTCTTTATTATTTAAAGAAAATATTCAAAATAAAACTTTATTAATTAAATTTTTAATATATAAAAATACAAATAAGTGATATTAATAGTTGTAATATGTTATTTAAAAATAAAATTTATAAGATTAAAGAAACTGAGATCTATATATATATTATTAATATTATATTAGAGAGTTATTAAAAATAGTTGAATAAGTTTTTTAAAAACAAGAATTATGATATTTCAGAATAGTAATATTTTATTATATTAATAATATAAGAAATTTTAAAGTTGAATATAATAACTTAGTAAAGTAGATAAGTTGTCAACCTCCCAAATAGTAGGTTGTAAGTTTAAAACCTATTAATAGCAAAATTTAGATAATTACTTATGTAATATATAGACAATATTATAGTAATAACATTTTATCGATCAGTTAAGATAAGATATTTGTAACTACAGTTATATTAGCATAACTAGCAGGTCATGAAGCATCTGTACAATATTGAGTTATACAGAGAAATGCAACATGACAATAGGTAGTGCAAACCTAAAATAAGTTCTTATGTTTATATAAATCTGTAGAACTAGGATGCCAGAGTCTACTTGGAAAGACTCAAATAAAAAGGTAGTATAGATCTTTGACAGTACTACTATAAAGGCTAAACCTAAAAAACAGATACTAATGTGAAAGAAATTAGGTAAACAAAAATCTCAGATAAGAAGTATCACTAATCAGAAGTTTCGAGCTAAAGAAAAAAATCTTTGGAAGTCAAACTCTGGAGTATCAAAGACAGGTTATAGTTCTTTCAGACTATCTGGATTGGAAGTCTGAGATCAAAAGCAAAGATATACTATAAGTACTAGAAATATACTATTAAGTTAGTACTAGAATCTGAGTAAACTTTGCAAGAGCAAGTCCTGTTAACAAAGATAAATATGGGTAGTTAGTTAGCAGAAAGGCTTCCTAAAGCCTTATAGTCAAGTAATATATTTTGAAATATATAACAGCTTGACAAATGTATAGAAAGAAAGGTTAAGATTAGGTTAAACAGTACTTAGATATACAGAAACTTGTATACTATTTGTTAGTATAAGTATAGAGATCAAAGTGTTTAAATAAGTAATCTTCTAGTAGATTGTAAGTATGGAAGCTAGTATAAAATCTGCTATGCAGACAGACTACTTAATTAGATAACCAAAAGTTATATATATGATTAGTTGTATACTCATCTTGTACAAATTATATAATTATAATTAAAAATATAATAAAAACAGTAGTAATTAATAATTACAGCCTTAATAAAAATAAATAAAAAATTTTAAAACTAAAAAATATTTAAATTAAGAAAAAAATCAATCAAAATAATAAATACAATTTTTAAATTTTAATGATTAATTATTATATATTCAAATGTTTAATCAATTATAAATTACTATTCAATTTCATGTAATTAACTAATTACAAGAAAGTTATTTTATAACTAATCTGAAGGTTCTTGTCTATCTAGATACTATGATCTTAATATCTATTTTTTTAGGCTAGCTTTTACAATAGGGCTGTCAAAGATCTAGTTATTTTTCTACTTGGATCTTTTTAAATAAACTTTTTGTTATCCAATTTTAATAGATTTATATAATCACAAGGACTCATCTAGTATTTGTACTGGCTGATTGTTAGTTTATATTTCTTTGTATAATACTATACTTATACAGATGCTCTATGACCTGCCAGTTATGTTGATATAACTGCTATTACAGATATCTTAATACAGTTATTGGTAACAGTTACCATTATATAGGTGATTATCCAAATTTTTGGTATTGATAGGATTTGAATATTCAACTTATCACTTAGAAGGTTAATAACCTGATCACTTCACTAGATTATTATATACTCTTTTTTGATAATTTCATCTTCACTTATATTTATAATATACTTAATAGAATCTGAATTTTGATTTATAATTCTAAGTTTTTTTATTTATTTGTTTGTAATTCTTTCTTTAAATTATTCCAATTCTATTAGTTTTAAGACTTCAAGAATTTGATTATAAAATTTTATATTATCTGATATAATATGGTTTGGATTACTTAATACTAGGTTTTTTATAATAAATTTTATATTACTTAGAGCTTTTTATAGATATTAATAAAATATGATTTAAAATTTTATAATTTATATATTTTCAGTTTCTGTTATCTAACTTCTTAATATAATCTATAATATCTGTTTTTTGCATTTTATTTATTGATCTACTGATTTATGTTTGATCAAATTAATTTTTATTTAGATAATTCACATACATGCATGTACTGTATAGATGTTTTCTAATATGTTTAGATTTTTTTAATTAAGAATGTATTTTATTTTGTTTATTATTTGTTTATTTTTGTATAATCATTTGATCTAATCTTCTATTTTTCTGAATTGACAACAAATTTCCAAAAAATAAAAGAACATTTCTGTTTAAATTTTTAAAGAGTTTTATAATTGTTGTTAATAAAGATTGTTTGTTTTAGTATTTTAAACAAATACTTATAATTTTTTATGTTAGATCTTTTTTTTAAAACCTGTAATAGATGTTTGCTATGTAACTTTTTAATATATCCTCAATTAAATAATTTTGTCTTTTTTAAAATTAAGAATCAACAAAAAAAAGTTCTACTTATTTTGATACCAAATAATAGTAATATAATAGCAATATAATAATAGAATAATAATAAAATAACAAGATTTGTTAATATTAATAATATATTAACAAAATAATAAAATATTTCTATTATTTTATTTTTAGTCTTTATAACTAAAAGTAAAATAATAAAAATGGTTCATTATTTTACTAATATGTTATTATTATGTTACTAATATTAACAAACCTTTTGTTATTTTACTATTATGCTACTATTATTTAATAAATATAAAATAGAATAATGAAAGATTTTTATTTCATTATTTAGCCATTATTCACTTTTTAGTTATTTGTTTGACCTGTAATATAACAGAATAATATAAATACTATTAGAGATAATCACAACAGGTCAGCAATTTACGTTAAGATAACATAACTTAAATTAGATAGTAAAATAGCTCTGTAAATATGTAATGAAGTTCTTCATCTACTAGGATTGAATAAAACCAACAATCACTGCCAAGCTAAAAAAAAAAAACTAAAACTAAAACCTCCGTATAGGGACATGTCTTGTAACTGTTAATAGACACCTTATTACATAAATATATCTGCACCTCTAGTATTAATTCCAATGCTACGTATGATCAATAATTTTCCTGGAAAAGCATTTTTTGATATTTTTTAACAAACATTATTCGGTGAAATTTTTCTTGGCATTTTTTGATGAGCATTGTTCGCTAAACATTTCAGAGTGTAAAACATTAAATAGTACAAGCTTTTATTCACTTTGGATGATTGATATTTACCATGTTCTCGCGAAATAACACGCGTGCACATTATTTTGAATAATGGCCCAAATTATAGCTGTTTTCATAAATTCAGAAACCTAAAAATTTGCTCGTCTCCCGAAACCTTTTTAAAAGTCACCTAACTTTTCGGAAACTATGTCGTTGTCTCTGTATCGAAATTCCAAAGACAACGAAGTAGATTCCAAAAAGTTAGGAGATTTTTAGAATAAGGTCGAAAAGATTTCGGAAAAACGAGCAAAGTTTTAGGCGTCCAATATTTACGAAAACAACTGCAATCTTAATTTAGGCCGTAATTCAAATTAACGCGCATGCGCGTCATTCGAGTATGGTTGAAGCAAAAAATAGTAATACTCTAATTGCATCAGTATTCTAGTTATTACATATGTTTCATATACTTTCACCTCAATATTAAATTTTGCAACATTTGTTGATATAATCATTTTTTACATTTATATAGTATTCCTGTAAGTATGCTAGCATTCTGCTTTAATATTGCTTCTTTGATGGATATATATATATCCAGGTATTTAATAGATAATGAAAAGTAGAAGCACGTGGTGTAGTATTCATAGGATAAAAAAAAAAAAGGAGTTTAATTTTTATAGTTTTAATTAATTGGTTCTTATTTGATGCCAGATTTTTGAAGAAACAGGATAAAGTTTTTAACTTGAAAGTTTAGCTACCATATTTTAGCTAAACAACGCACATCTACGAGAGATAAAGAGTTAATAGAAAAGGTGAAGTGGTTACAAGCGATGAAATTAACAAAAAATCAGCAATACGAGGATTAAGAGGAAGCTGGTTCGCAAGAGTTGTGTCCAAAAATTTTTGAGAACATATTGTGATTTACGCAAAGAAATTAGCGAAGTAGGTGGTTTTATAGGCAAAGTTTCGTGAGTAGAGATGCTGTGTGAAATTAGGTTCACCAAATTTCACTGATAGATCTTTATCTTGAATTTTGAGCAATCTAATACGACCGGAACTGCCTAAGACTTTTTTAATCATTTAATTGTGTTAACCGTTTAATTCACCAGTATTAAAATAGCCAACCCATGATCAGCATAACTAAGCCCGGGAACTATGGAACAATGTTTAAACGGTTAAACGGCACCAATCCTTAATGCTACACTACTGAGTAGTTTAGCATATGTATGTAGGTTATCATACAAGTTTATTTTTCTCCAATTCTTCAACTTAAACAATAATTTGTTATTTATGTTCATTCAATTTATTCATGAAGTATGATTTTTGGAAGGTGATATATAAATGAAACAAAAGATTCAATTATAATCAAAAAGATTTTATTTTCTTAATACGTAAATGATATTATTGGAAAGTCCGTTATTACCATTAAAGATCGAGATCTGCGATTATGTGTTTAATATCGGGACTCTGCCTCAACATTTATCATCATTATTCAATTACGAAAGTTACCGTAAATGACAGAGCAACTCGAGATTATAGAGTAATTAAACATTGCTTTTAAGTCTTAAATACGAAGAAATTTCATATCCCTGATAATACTTTTAGTCAATATAATTAATTTTTAAAAATAATCTTTTATTTTTAAATGATATTTATATTCGATTTGATATTTGATGATCGAGGAACACCTATTAAAGAATCGGCAATGTCAATTTTTGTGGCTATGTTTATGAAGTAAAGTACGTATTTAAATACAAGACTTGAAAGCCCAAAGTTAAAACTTTATTTATGGCTTAGTAGTATTTGAGAGGCTTTTGGCGGTTTCTCTCACAATACGTAAAGAAAAAAGATAATTTATAAAGATCAAATTCTTGTCATAATCACAGAAATAAATTGAAAGATCTTTTTGCTTTGAAACATCAAAATTTCCTAACACAACGTAACAATAATGATATCAAGAAATATGATTTTGAAAATTCTCAACATTTGTATTATTTCACTCACTTGTTTAACATACTTTACATCCGCGTGGCCAGGAGGAGCAGGAGTCTGTGACGTGAATAAAATGAAAGATAGTCCACATGGTGCTGCTTACTCACCACAAAATGCCGGTGAATTTTCTATCAATATGACGAAATTAACAAGTCCAAAGATTAAAATTTCTGTTAATGGACCAAAAAGTGTCAAAGGTTTTTTAATATACGTTCAAAATGATGGCGGTGAGCATTTTGGAAAATTTGAAAATACAAATCCTTTATTCAGTTTTAACGTTAAGGGTTGTGACAAGCAAGACCAGACCAATACTTTAACTCATAACTCTGCAGTTGAAAAACAACTTCCACTTGACTTCGAATGGTCACCTGAAACTGATAATGCAAATGGTACTGTTCAGGTTGTCGTAGTGGTGTCTTTTGCAGAGTGGTATAAATTGGATGGACAATCTATCAGCTCCTAGATGATTATGTATTCTCTTTAGAGTTTAAATTATAAAAATTTTTATTATAATTCTTTATTAAAGAAATAGGTTCGTTTATTTTTAACGAGCTTACAATATTTATAGCTATATATATATTTGCAAAAATATCAAGATCATTTTTCGTAAAGAATAATTGTATTTTTGAGATTTGTCTGGGCTTTTGTCAGCAAGTATATAATGATTCCTACATAGTTGATGTCTTTACTCTAAAAGAATGATAATAGTTCTATCTTAATAATTTAGAGTGCAATATTTTTTTTTGGATCGTGAGCTATGTATGCTAATTACGCTCCAGAGGGAATTATTATAATTTCATAATCCTCTAACTCTTATAATTATTAATATGATTGGCTAATTTAGGCATGGTCATTGATTATTCAAGAAGCTTTTTTATCGTTATGCTTTTCATTACTTAAAATTTCTCATATACGTTCAAGAATCTATCAAAAATTTTCTCTATGAGAAATTGATAAATAATCTAATTGGACAGTTTAATCAGACAAATCAATCAGTTCTTTGTTGAGCCCATTGAGGGAGTTGCTTGAGAACGCAATTAATATCTTAAATGTAACGTTCCTAATCACGCACATAATCAATTATGTTATACAAAATCTCTGTAGTCTTAGTTATCCCAATTTAATGAAAAAGTGGCAGAAATATGAAAAACAAAGAAATGTAATACCCAATCTGTCTATGGAGACAGAATAAACGAGGAATGATTCAGCCCAGAGCATGTTCTTTCGGGTATGTCCAAATATTCCCAACCCTAAATATAACGATAAAGCATAAATAATATTGCTGATTGATCTATTGCTATTACGGTTAATTAATAAAATCTTGATTTTTCCGAAATCGTAACTTATAAACAAGTAAATGAATTTTTGATCACATCTAACTTTTTTTTAATAGTACATATCCGTGTAATACTCTATTTTATTAAGGTCCATTGGTTAGTAAGAACAGCTAATATTGTCATGACGATAATTTTTTACACATACCGACACTGGACAAGACATTGCAATATATTTTATCGGATTGGCCAAATAAACATTAGCTAATTTTTATTTATTGTCCCAAGATTTGCATATCTATCCGTGCGGTCCGGTCGGTAAAAATAAATTTATCAGGCTTGTACAAGTCTTTAGGGTGTTCTATACCTTTTACTGGTGCATAAAATCTTAGTATGATGTAATCCGTTTTTTGTCCTGGTAACATTTTTTATTAATTGGAATTTAGGATAATTGCGACTTTAGGAACCTATAGCAATAGTAGGAAGTAAACTTTTCAAATACAGCAACCAATGAAATTTATATAAAGTAATTGGGAAAACGGAAATTTCCGGTGATAAAACATCCTTCGGTCAATAATGATACTATCTTGGAAAACAATTTTTTCGATATTGATCTTTATGTCGATTATATTAAATGCTATCTAACTTCTTATGCATAAGTTTTATGATGAACAAATGGTTTTTTTTCAAGGAATTTCGACCTTTTTGGTGACGATCTTTTTGGTGATTTGTCTTAATAGAACGTAGTTTCAACTTATTGACAAAAAAAAACAAAGTATCTCGAAGATCAATATAAATCGTACAAAAAAAAAGGTTCAAAAAAAAAAAATGTAGAAAATATATATTTTCTAGTAATTTTCATATTTAGAATCTTTAACAGAACCTGTTACAAATTCACAGGATTTCAATAACTTTTTTGAACGGTTTATTCATTTACAACAAACAGATACACCACAAAATTTGTCGTTTCAATTTCATATTTAACTCGAATACAATTGGCACTAAATGATTTTCATGCATATTACCCTTATCGTTATCTTGAACGGCAATATCCTTCGTGTAAATAAGGGAGATAGTATGATCACTATAATTTAGGAAGACTAACTACAACACGCTAGCACAGAATTTTCTAAATAAACTCTGCTTGGTATCCTCTTTCGCATATAATTTTAGCACAGGGGATCCGAGTGAAACTTGTTGGAGTGAGTTAAAAAATGTTGTAAGTGGGAACGGAATTTAAGTTCAAAATAATAACGTAATAATTTTATATTTCTTTTGTAACATATACCTGAATCCAATCCTATTAGTGGAAGAGGCCAATATAAGTGCTCAGCTGCTTCAACAGGAACAGAATATCGGATTAAATGTTTATAAAAGTTGAGCGCGGTAGTTCATACAAGGTAAGCATACTATAGAACTATATACAACTTGAAACACAATATTAATTAACAATGTATGTACATAGGTTAAAAATAGAGCATAATCATTTTTGGTTTTCCTTATTGAACACCAATAAGAATGATTAAAGTTTAACATATATGAAAAAATAACCAGTTAGTGCAGTTAGTGCAATTAGTGTTACTTGTCTCCTATAAATATCGCACAACACTATTCCTTAATTGTTGATGCAAACATGAATTACTGATACGCGTCCGGATTGCACAACCAAGAATAACGATAGTAAATTCTAAATTCTCAGGGTATGAAAGCGCTAATAATGATGATTCAGCACTTGACGTTAATATGTGCGTACACGAACGCCGTCTTGCCATGTCGAGTTGTTATCGCCACCTGGAAAGGTTACAAATCCTTTTATTGTACAAAATAACGTACCAGATCATTTATGAAATTCTGAATTATGTGGATTTGAAGATTTGTCATCATGGAAGAAAGATATATATAGATATATTTATTTTGAAATTATCTTGGTTAGTAAGTTGTAACGTAATATTTCTTCTCATTTAACCAAAACCTAATATCAATACCCATTTTATAAAAATTGTATCTTCATTTTTTTAAAGTACCTAATTTATTTAAATATTAAAAATACTTTCATATTACTGGTAGAATATTAATTATAGCACTATCGATATGATCAAAATTCCTAGTGTTTAGTAATGATTTTTTCGATAAATAATGAACTAAATCGGCTTAAATTTTTGTTTTGGATAGTATTGACATTCTCTATAAAATATATGCTAAAAATTAGCAAATTTGGTTTGAGTAGTTCCTAAGAAATAGCTTGTACACAGTTAATTTCTTTGATTAAAGAATTTTAAATACGTAATTGGTTATCGATTACTTAAGAAATACTAATCTTAAATTGGCTATCGCTATACTTTAATGCTATATATATACTGTATATATAAGAATATCAATACTAACAGGGAAAAATTAGTTCGACGATTATCGAGAAAATCATTATTAAAGATTGACTAAAAACCGCGTTATTCACTAATGATAGTAATCATCAGGGATTCGGTCGAATTTGGTTTTAGTACTATTTTGTTAGTACTATTTTAGATGCTGGAAATAGATGAGAATCTATATCTATCAGTCTAACAGTCTAAAATTTATGATTTGTAATATTTAGGTTATCCAAATTCAAATGTATATATTCTGACATATATTCCAGTAATTTTAATGCTTGCATCCAGTCCAATAAAATTCGAGGGTTTTATATATATAGATGATAATTTGTCTTATGTTCGAAAAACTATGTATGCACATATTTATAATAATATATTACCATAAATATTATTATACTTATTTATTTTTTTGTTTGTTCTACGGAATATATTAAATAAATCAAAATGTGGTAATCAAATGAAACGGATTAAGTAAAATTATCGTTATATACACCGATAATCCTACGGAAATCTCGATTAGGTGTAACATTAGTACAGTTGGTTATTGTAGGCATTCCGCTTCTATTTATGGAGCCATCCATGTACATCATATAATGATCTACATACTGCATAAATTGTATTTTTGATATCTTTATAACCCGATAACCCTAACCGCATCAAAAAAGTAATCATGGCTTTCTAAAATAAAATTCATTCATAATCTTTTCGTCTGGATACTTAAAAACGATAGATTATGTTTGTATAATACCGGTTTTCACCAAAAAAATCGGATGTGGATGTATCTATTGTTTCTGAGAGTGACTATATGTTATTGCATAATAATATAAAGAATTATCATTTTTCGACTCATCCTATAAATATTAAATTATGTGTGTCAAAGATAAATTTTTCTAGAATATTTAACCTGAGAATTTGTTGGCCCTTGCATTTTAAACATAATCCGATTGAAATAATTATAATATTAATTAATTTATAATCGGATGTTATGATTTACAAAATTACACTAATAACTGATTATTTTAAAAATCAATTTTTTTGGAGAACAATGGTACTTACTTTTAAATTGTAGGAAAAAAAAAATCTCATGAGAGATTGAGAAGGAGGAACTGAGAAAGAGGCAGGTGTATTTAAAGGTTCTCCTTTTTAAAAAAATTTATTGCGTCATCTATTGAGTCTATGTTATAATATACATGCCAAGATGAATTTTACCACCAATGAACAGAACATAGCAACAAACTTCATAGGTTTTATTTGTTTATGCCCTCACTTTGTTATACTTTGTTATGAACTTATGCGTCAAAAGTAGCAACGTTTCTAAGATCATCTAAACATAATTACAATAAATAAATTAATTAATTTCTTCATCTCATGGTGTATCTAAAATTATGTTTATATCCATAGTTACCAAAAAAGGATAATTATTTAAATGTAACTTCCAAAAAATGGAATATATGATCAGAAACAGGAATTTGTGATTTAAAAAAAGCGCGAGGATCCGTTTATATTTTCATCTTGCTTTACATGTATATATAAATGAGTAGCGAATCGTATACATCAAACTAGGCATTCTTTCGTTAGTACTACATATTCTTGCATACTTGCATAACGTAGTAATGCATGTTAGTAAGGAGTTTTGAAAAAGAAATAAGGAGACTATGCACAACAAATAAGGGTGAATATCTTATTGTTGTAATCACCTTTGAAAGTATTTATATTACGACCTTTTGAAGAAAAAAAAATCTTTTCTCCTGCACCCATCCACTACGACTGATCTCGATTCGTGATACAAATTTAGCATAAACGGGAAAACCAAAAATAATTAAAATCTGTAATTTTTCAATAGTCATTGACAATATTGGCATAAAAGTGCTAATTTTGCTCACGTAAAAGTTAAAAAAAATAATTTCTTCAAGTCAGTTCTGCTAATTTCTAAATTCATCTGGTATGAAATCTCGGTCAGGTTTCAATCGGATCATTTCGTTGGTGCTTTTATTATCACTATTGCTAGCAATAGTCCCATTAGTATCATGTTATCATAACTTTACTTATCAAGAGACAAAATCATCTTCAGTAATACCTCGAATATGGAAACCATATGTGTATAATGATGGTACAATACTCGTTCGCATAATTCGAAGAGATGCTGCAAATAGTATCGTTAATCGAGTATGCCTTCAACAAGTATTATCTCTACGAATAATATATCCAAACGGAACCGTAACTGAACTTGACATTGACTTGAAGATTCAATCTTTCAATTATTGTCTTATTGCGGCTAGTCCGCAAAATTTGGAACCAATACACTTATACCCTTTACAAACTGGTTATTTCCTCGTAAATTACTTTAATGCTACAGATGTTAATGATTACTCTACTTATCAAGAATGGACAATGATCGTTAATTGGAAAGGTGTAATACTTAGGTTAGTTTAATATGATCGATATCATAACATTCTAAGCTTATCTGTTGAATTCTTTAAAATCCTTTTATGTTATCAGTCAAGCGTTTTTTGGATACGCTTATGTAAATTCGGCCGGTGCGTGGAACCCCGATCAAACCACTATAAGGATTAATATCTCTCCTGAGAAGGGATTTTTACGACTTTCCTCGATAAGAAATTCCTCAACCGTTGCATGGTCTCAATATTTCATGTAAATTTTGTTTTTCATTTAATTTATTTCGATCAAGTTTAATCCTTCATTATATATTAATTTATAGTTATTTCTTTAATTAGTGATTCCAATTATCAATTCCAACAACTTTCGAATGGTACCATTCAACTTCCTGCATCTACAAATGCTGTGTTTAACACCATTGCCACTGTCGATGAAGGCTATGCTATTGTCTATGCGAATTCATCTGACCAAAATAATTCGCCTGATCCACTTACCGTTCGTGCGGCATTATACATTCAACCTATTGGATATGGTGACAAAACCTTGGGATCTCCGCTGCTTCTCTATCAACTCCCACTTCAAAACGTGTTTTTCGGTCCACTTTATTGTGATATTTCTCCTGTTAATGTCGGCCAAATTTGTACACTAACCATGTATCAAAATAATAATCAAACTAATAATATTACAAATAATACTACAACAAACGCTACACAATCAATCAATAACAATCAAACTTATTACGCTAAAATTTCATTTTTATCAAGTGGTTCCGTTATTGAATTTACTCCAATATCCAGAATATTACCTACTCTACCTAATGTTACTTCATGGGTGGTTTCTTCACTACCTTTTGGTGGTTATTTATTGGTTTCTCAAACTCTATCTCCAACTGGCATAAATGTTTATGCATATATATTTGACGAATACTCCTCCACTGGACAACCTTGGGAACTTTTAGAACCCTATCCTTCAAATGTAGCCGGTTCTTTCGAAATTCTTCCTAATAATTCTATTATTGTCGCTAATCCGGAATCTTTGAATACCTGGTCATTTGTAGTTTCTGATTTACCTAAATTTACAAAGAATAAAGATAATGGTTACTCTAATGTTCGTGTAAACATCACCAGCCCTAATATTGGTGATGTGATTCCAACTTCAACTCAAAATATCACCATAAGATTTTATGACCCTGTGGAACTTTCTTCCGGAAATATTTCAATCTATCAAACTGATAATAACCAAAATGATGTTCTTCGACAAAGAGTTTCTGGAAAAAATATTGGTTTTTGTTCAATATCTGATGATGGTTTAACAGTAACCATTAAAGTCCTCGATAGCACCTTTAGTAAACCAAATTCCATGTTTTATGTAAAAGTTGATAATAATTTTGTAAGGAGTAGTGCTTTTAAAGAACCACTTATTGGAATTGGTGAAAGAATTTGGAAATTCAACACAGGTAAATTGTTTTATAAAATATCTCATTTTGAGGATTATTATTGTTGTTGTTTAGATGAATGCTTGATTTAAATTTTCATATGTTTTAATCCGGTTTATAGAGAATAAAGAAGAGCCATTTGCAGGTAAATTAGACTATCAGCTTTAATGATTAATTAAATCACGCGAACAAATTACATATCATTATCATTATGTGTAGGCTCAGTATCTGGATTATTACGTTTAACTCTGGATGGATCAACGTATTACGATAGTCTCAATTCAAGTGGCAAAAGCAGTTTCTTTTCCAATCTTCAAAATGATATTTCAAAAGCCCTCCCCGTTTCTCCTTCCCGTTTAAGTTCTAATCAACACGTTCAGGTTGATTTCTCTATTAGTCCAGGTCGACAGATTTTCTTATCATTTAATATCGAACAAACTAGAGATAAAAATGAAAGAAGTGTTGCTTCGATTATCCGAGATTTAAACACAATGGTTCGTAACAAAGACATTACACCAATTGGGTCAGGAAACACTACAAAATTTCTAGATGAAACTTATGGATTCGTGCCATCGGGTAAGCCTCCAATAAACTTATTAAAACGTGCACACTTGCTCTATTTTTTTTTTTTTTTTCCTACATAAACTTAATCAAACCTCTTTAAATCCATGTTACTTTATATAATTTAGCAAATCTATGGGATAAATACAAGTTGAAGCTGTTGGGAGTGTTCTTAATAGCTTGCTTGTTGATTACTCTTTTCCTTATGGCTCAAAGAAGAGATAAGAAGGGTAACAACATTGCCATTTTACAACTTGGCCTTATTTTATTTGATGTTACCATAGATATTCTATTCTTGGTTAATAATGGTAAAGATGTTGAGATTTTATACATTCCCAGGTACGATGAAATCTTATTCATTCACATGAATCGTTGTTAATTGATTATAACATTAAGTATATTTTACACTTTATACAAATTCTTATAGTATAATATTCCTGGTAGTTCCAATTTGCATAAATACTTCATTAGCTTTTGTTATCATTACAAAGGAAAACACGCGTCCTGAATTTTTCTCATGGTTTGTCGCACATGGAAAAGTCGCGTCAATATTTACCGTATTGGCTGGCGCTGACATTGAAGCATTAGCCGTACTTAAATCAAACCTTGCTGGATTTACATTTTTCCAAGCTCCTTTTTCAGATGACGCTCAATCAAGCATATTTTGGGGTGCATGTTTGAATATCTTCACAGAAGACATACCTCAAGTAATCATTCAGGTAAAGGCTAATTTATATAACTTTTTTTACGATTTTTGGAATACAAATTCAATAATCACTCAAAAATCTTACGCTCTTGACAATTTTAGATCTTATACCAAGGAAATACTGTAATATATGACATAATTCCACTACTTACCCTTGTCTCATCCTGCCTCAATTTGACGGTTAATATGATTGGAAGATTATATCAAGCCACGAACAGAATTCGACAAAAGAGACAAAGTTATCGTCTTCCTAAAACCGATGAAACACAATACGATATGGGAAATAACCAACCATTTCACATGTCAGCTCCGATGGTTTCTCATGATGAATCACCTCAAAAGATTGATGTTAAAAGCGACAGACTTTCTGTTGATGATGAAAGCAAGAAGTTGGCAAAAAGCAATTCAACGAGTAGTTTTCATGAAATGATTAATCATTAATTATATAATTAGTATTATTTTTTTAATGAACTTTTTTTATGGTTTTTTCATATATATATAATGTTAATTCAATTATAGAATAAAAGAAAAATAATTTTTATTGCCCTTTCAATTTTGTATTTCAATTTTGGAATTTATAATTATCTTTTAGAGTTCTTATCGTTTGTTTATTTGTACCATGTTCATAACTGTCATTTATCATAAAGTTTTGATTTATAATATAATACTAAATGAGTGACGGTCCCGAAATGATTATAAGTAATAAAATACGATTCAGATAAATAGTTAAACATCCGATGTACTTTAAATTTATATAAAAATTGCCCTGGTGTTTGTCTTTTTTTTAAAAAAAATATTAAGGTGAGTACTTGCGACCCAGGATTTTATTGATAGTACATTCAGCTAACAACCACAGGGGGTAACCATGGAAAGAGTGTACAACTAGCCACTCGTACAACTTTAGTCATTGTCTAATTTAAGTAGTCCGCCCGAAGGTT